CTGAATGGCAGCACAACCTTCTGGTGTATCTACCACACCTCCCAGTTTGGTGTCGTCAGCAAACTTGCTGAGGGTACATTCTAACTCTTCATCCAGGTCGTTGATGAAGAACTTCTTCCTGTTCCTCTTCTGTCCTCTCCAGTTTTTCCAGCTTGGTCCTGGCTCTTGCCCAGTGCAGGCAAAGGAGCGGGGACAGCTCTGTGTCCCTCTTGCTGTCGCTCACCCGGCGATTGTGCCCGTCTCCCGACATCCCTGTGTTTCTTTCCCTGCCCCCAGATGAGCGTTGGTCAGCGGGCGAAGATGACCATTTCCCCAGATTACGCCTACGGCTCTACTGGCCACCCGGGGATCATCCCACCAAACGCCACTCTGATTTTTGACGTGGAGCTCATGAAATTGGAATGACCTGCCCCAGCACCCCGTCCTCGGGTAAGGAGGGGCAGCTGCCGCCCGTGGGTGCTGGGGCTTGGGGACGACGCAAGGCCCTCGTCTGTTGCCTCGGGCTGGCGTGGGGAGGTGGGATGGAGCTGGTGGCATGGGGGGTGTGAAAGAACAGGGCAGGTTTCGGACTGGGGATGGAAGTTGCTCTCAGGAGACCGGTGAGCTGGGGACCAGTATGGTGGTACGAGGAGTGTTCCCAGCCCGGCAGAGAGGGTTCGTGCCATGGAGGCATGGTGGTGCTGGCTGGCCATGCCTCGAGGTCCTTGGCTTGTGTTGCTGCGCTGCAGGACTTGGCTTCCAGCTCCCCCTCGTGCCTCTCTTGCTGCTGGTGCGGGGGTCCTGCCGTGTGGGCAGGATGGGGCTGTGCCCTGGGGTGTGTGGGTCCAGCAGTGTATAGGGCTGTGTCCCAGGGTCATGCGGTGTGGGCAGGATGGGGCTGTGCCCCGGGGTCCGTGGGTCCTGGGGTGTGGGCAGGATGGGGCTGTGCCCTGGGCTATGGGGTCCTGCGGTGTGGGGCAGGATGGGGCTGTGCCCTGGGCTGTGGGGTCTTGGAGTGCTGGCAGGATGGGGCTGTGCCTGGGGTCCATGGGTCTGGCGGTGTGGGGCAGGATCAGGCTGTGCCCTGGGGTCCTGTGGTGTGGGCAGGATGGGGCTGGGCCCCGGGTA